ATGCGCCTGTAAAAATGACAACCCTTACACTGGACAACTGCCAAGAAAGATTGCATTTTTAACTAAAAAAAATTCATAATTTACAAACGACTAGGGGTTGCATTTTTATAAACATTTATATAGGGTTGTTGTTAACTCTTTGAGCGTAATTATTTAACAAAAATAAATATTGATGCGCCTGTAAAAATGACAACCCTTACACTGGACAACTGCCAAGAAAGATTGCATTTTGACAAAAAAAATTCATAATTTACAAACGACTAGGGGTTGCATTTTTATTAACACTTATATAGGGTTGTTGTTAACCCTTTTAGCGTAATTATTTAACAAACATAAATATTTGATGCGCCTGTAAAAATGACAACCCTTACACTGGACAACTGCCAAGAACGATTGCATTTTTAACTTAAAAAATTCATAATTTACAAACGACTAGGGGTTGCATTTTTATAAACACTTATATAGGGTTGTTGTTAACCCTTTTAACGTAATCATTTAACAAACGGAAATATTTGATGCGCCTGTAAAAATGACAACCCTTACACTGGACAACTGCCAAGAACGATTGCATTTTTAACTTAAAAAAATCATAATTTACAAACGACTAGGGGTTGCAATTTTATAAACACTTATATAGGGGTTGTTGTTAACCCTTTTAGCGTAATTATTTAACAAACGGAAATATTTGAGGCGCCTGTAAAAATGACAACCCTTACACTGGACAACTGCCAAGAAAGTTTGCATTTTTAACTTAAAAATTCATAATTTACAAACAACTAGGGGTTGCAATTTTGTAAACACTTATATAGGGTTGTTAACCCTTTTAGCGTAATTATTTAACAAACGGAAATATTTGATGCGCCTGTAAAAATGACAACCCTTACACTGGACAACTGCCAAGAACGATTGCATTTTTAACTTAAAAAAATCATAATTTACAAACGACTAGGGGTTGCATTTTTATAAACACTTATATAGGGTTGTTGTTAACCCTTTTAACGTAATCATTTAACAAACGGAAATATTTGATGCGCCTGTAAAAATGACAACCCTTACACTGGACAACTGCCAGGAAAGATTGCATTTTTAACTTAAAAAATTCATAATTTACAAACGACTAGGGGTTGCATTTTTATAAACACTTATATCGGGTTGTTGTTAACCCTTTTAACGTAATTATTTAACAAACTGAAATATTTGATGCGCCTGTAAAAATGACAACCCTTACATTGGGCAACTGCCAAGAAAGATTGCATTTTTA